CGTATGAAATTCTGAGCGACTTTAATCATGTCTTTCCAAAGAGGTGCTGTATGTGACAGGGAGTAATATTTCTCTTGCTCCAATGCAGCTGCCAATGATAAGATTTGATTAAGCTTAGAAAGATCGGTGGAGTACAGAAATGTGCAGCTTTGCTCCTTAGCTGTATGCACATGCGTCCTGGAAAGGTCCCTTTGGAACAAAACATTTTCTAATAAAATTCTTTTTCGGAGTAATTATAAATCAGCCTCATGGTTTTTGTGCTTACTCAGAAAAAACAGAATGTTACTGTGTTTCTCCAGGTGTAATGTCATTACCATGTGGTTAACATTCTGGAGAAATGAATGGCTCTGAATTAGGAATGATAGCTGAAATGGTGACAGTAAAGGAAACACAAATAACTCAGTTAATTTATGCTATTTATAACACATACTTTGTATTGCTTGATGTAAGCTACTTATTATGCTACACGAAGTGACAAATACTATTCATTTGTTGTAATGCCAAATCTCTTAAGTGTCCTAGTGTTAAAAACTACGGCATAAGAATCATGTCACAAAAGTATAACTCCAAATCATCTGTACAGAAAAATTAATAATAGCCCAGAAAAGCTAATAATTATATTGGTGATTAATTAAAGTGCCATATTAAGAGGTAACAGACCATAATATAAAGTACAGTGGTACCTCAGTTCTCGAACTCATTATAACTCGAATTTCTTAAAAGTCGAACCAACCAGTTTGAAAAAAAATTACCTAGAGCTCGATCTGAATCTCAGAAGTCAAACCGTGAACGGCGACCTAAGATAACTTTTACGCGTGGGGAAATGAGTCATGCAGCATGTCTCTCAGCGGAAAGAAATGGTAATGCTTCAGTCTCAGCCCCGCATTCGCTGTGATAGCATCGTGCATGTTTACACTAGCTGAATACATATACAGTGGTACCTCAGAACTCGAATTTAATCCGTTCAAAACTCCGGATCGAATCCTAAAAAGTTGGAGTTGTGCTCGAATTTTCCCCATAAGAAATAATGTAAAACCAATTAATTGGTTCACGGCCCCAAAAAATTACACCTAAATATGTTTTTTTTAGCATTTAACACAAAATGAACCGGATAAAACAAGAAGAGCATATACTGTACTAAA